TTTAAATTCATTCATGTCTACGTACAATCATCTTAATAAAGGAGCTTTTCATATTAGAGCTACAGAGAGATTTCTAAGGTCGGGTTAACGACTACGGTCGCTACCAGAAACAAAGTTTCTACAAAACAAATAGGTAACCATTGCCACATTATCAGAAGGCAAAGCGTCGACCAAATAGCATATCCCTATGACTAGCATTATGGTTGCTTCTTCTCTTAATTCGTGGTTTCATGTGTGATTAGGCAATGGTTGCTTGCTATTACGGAAAGACTGATCTTCTAAAGGCAGAGGCGGACATCCAGCGCCTTAATGATGAACTCGCATAGGAAAATAATGACTTTGAATTGGAAAAGAAAATGTTGGTATCTCTCATTGAAAGCAAAGTTCGGACATTGACCTTTTGGAAGAACAAGGCAGGGGTTTTTGAAGGTGAGGTAGCTTCTTTGGTAGCTAATGACCAAGATAACAAGCAAAATATAGATTATCTTGAGCAGAAGCTAGAGTTGGAGGCGTCCGGAGTGATCATCATCAACACTTGGAAGATGATTAAAGAGTTCCAAGATGACAAGGCAAAGGAGTGGAATACGAGAGAAGCTGAAGCAGCTTATAGGGAGGTACTAGTGGCAAATGCGAACATGGAAGGTAAGACCCCACCAACGTTTCCCGAGCCTTTTCCAGATCCTGAAGTCGTTGTACCTGCCCCATCTGCCACCTGAGGATGGTATCATCTTCTTTTGTTTAACGTCCACTTTGGGAGTCGTTTCTTTTTTCTTATTAAACTTTTAGACTTGGAATTTTGACTTTCTCTCTTTTTTGGTAACATTTTATTTTCTCGGAACTTCATATGCGACGTTATTATCTATGTTGTCATGTGCCTCTATACTCTGTCGTTTCAATATAATGATATTATATTTTGGACTTGCAGCGATCTTATTTCTTATTTGCTTGTTACTATTGCTCTGTGAATTGTTTTTTTCCACGTGGCAACTTTTACTTGATGTTTGGCATAGCTGACACATTCTTTTTACTTCGAAGCTTACTCCCTGCATAGCATTTGTTTGGAGCTTCCAGGGGTACAGCAGCTATCGCTGCATCATTCTTTGGACCTTACACAATTTTTTTTTAGAACATTCGTTCGCTTTTGGTGTTGAAGTTAAAAAAAAAAGAGCGTTATTATCGCTTTTGGTGGTAATAACGCTCCCTTTTGAGAGGTTGCACCATCTATAGCGATAATAATGCTCCTTTTGGGAGCTTATACCACTTTTTTTTAGAACATTGGTTCGCTTTTTTTTTAGAACAATCATTCGTTCGACGTTCTAGAATCCGGCTCACCACCATTGGAAGCTGCTGCTGAGCGCTTTGAAGAGGATCTCAAAGTTGTTTGCTTATCCTTCGAAGGTGGTTTCGAAACAGTAGCCAGCGATCCCTGACTAGTGCGTCGGAACTTCTCGAGAGTACTGCCAATCGTTCCATCACAACCAGACATGGTATGACCTGAGACGTAGAGACATGATTTAGTGAAATCATGGAAGCACGAACACATCAAGATTGATTAGTGAGCTTACCCCAGATGGTGCTCTTTTCTTCAGAGAAAAAGGTTTGATGAGTAGCTCAACCGAACGGTATACTTCGGAATAGCTGACTGCTTGAGCGACACCAACACCACCCTCTTTACAATGGTCTCGTTTAAAACCTGCAACAAAAACAGAAACAAGAATAAAGTCAGCCAGAAATAATGAAACAGCAACATCTAGAAAATATATGCTGCTACCTCCATAAGACTAAGCAACTGGAAAGCCAGGATTACATCCCACTTTCATGAAAAAATTTTTTTTTCGTCCACTCCTTCTCATAAGGAGCGTTGCCTCTCAAAGGTCTCTTCAGGTCACGTACTAAATGCGGAACGGGAAGATTGCTTTTGTGAATCAACAACCTGTTTTGATTTTGCTGTGGAGTTTGAAGTAATAGGCATATATAACTTCTTTCACCCCAAGTTTAATAAAAAATAACTCTCCAAAGACTTGGATAGCTGTCAAAACCCTCCAAGAGGTCGGAGTGAATTGGCCCGGAGACACGTTCAACTCTGTGGTAACTTCAGCGATTATGGAAGGAATTCTATCTCGTAGACATAAAGCAAAAAAGACTTCATAGATGACTAATTTGTCAGGTGCGGAATGGCAAGCATGCTAGTTTCCAATGGAACTCTGAGAGCCACAGACGGAGGAATTTTGTAGATGTTTTGAAGCTCAAAATATCATTAAGTTACAGAGTAGAGCTCGGATTGTTCTCAAATAGAGTATAACTACGGGGTTTGCGCGTTGTTAACACCTGAACGTTGCTACTAGCAGAATTTCGACATGAGTGGACTGTGGAATCGCAGCTGAGCTCAGTTTGGAGGTAACTTCAACTAGATCTAAGGGGATCGAGCTCACACTCTCACTATCAGACATTATATGTTCCTAACATGAAAGTTCCCTAATTTAGAAGATGGAAGGAGCTTGATACTAAGTTGAAAGCTACAAACGAGCTTACAAAGAATCAAAATAATGATGCAAAAGGAGAGAGACTCTACCCGTAACGCTTCGAATGGAGCTGAGAATTGTTATTGAAATGGCAAGTCTGGAACAAAAAAAACGACAGCACAAAGTATCAGAAACGAAGGTGCAAAAATAGATGAGGAAGAAAGTGCGAAAAATGAAGATAAATAAAGCTTGAAGAGACACATAAAAATTACCAGCGAAATTCTCCATAACACTGAAATTGGGAATCGAAATGGAGGCAGGAAGCTAGTGAAAATCAACGACACAAAATTACTTCATTTTGACCTAAATGACTAGGTTTTTGGGCTGATTCTTTAAAAGTCCATTAGACTAATAGTTGGTGGCAATTATATAATGCCCATCACGTGGCTGCTAAAGGAAATATGAAACCCATTTAAATAAAACGTGGGTGAATAATAAAGCCCATTACATGGGATAAGTGTGTGTTTCAAAGATGACATATTAGTTCACGTAGAAATGAAATTAAAAGCGTCCTACTTAATAATTTTAAGCACATTACTATGGTAATGGTATGCTACTGGCATTCAACTCAAAACGTCCGTATATTTAAGGCAACGTAAATGTTTCTCAAAGTGAAATTATTTGTCTCGAGGTAATGTAAGATCTACTACTCTCTAAATCCTAAATTAGAAATTAGAGAAAGGGGAGCACGTTGTTAGGTAAAATGAAATCAATTATAAGATCTATCAGATAGGTTTGATCCATAAAAGATTCGGTCCAAATAAAATTCGAATAAATAGTAAGGTCGGATCGATATAAATGCAAATAATAGAAAAAAATTCAATTAACAAAAAGTTCAAAAAAAGAAAAATTTTAACTGACAAAATGTCCGAATTTTTAAAGATAACGACTAATAACCTACACGAACTATTCTAATCCAAAAAAACTTAAGATTTGGGAGTCATTTATAAAAGAAAAAGCTCCTAAAAAATAAAAGTTACGAAGCAATAAAAGCCAAAAAAATCCTAAAAAACATATTTTGACAATAGCTTAATATCTATAATATACTTATAATTCAGAACTTTGTTTTTGAAATAAAAATCTTTTTTTCTCTTATTGATCTATAGAACTATCTTTCATTCAAATCTGTAGAAATTTCCCCAAACAATAATAACAAAAATTTCCATCAATTCAATTCCAATCCAGTTTCACTCGAACCAATGATCGAAGAAACAATAGCCACTCGAACTCATTACAAACTAAAATGCTATATTTAATATCGTATTAAGATTCTAATTAAAGTTAAAAGACACGTGACAGATGAAGAACACATGTGTCGACTTGGGACCACTTTTGGGTTGCTTGTCATGTCCGCACGCGCCTCCTTTCTTTTGGATTCCCACCAGCCGCCATTACCACTTCTTTATTTTTCTAATTAAAAGGAACAGCTCGCACGTTCTACTCGTTCACACGTGTCTATATACTTTTCCACAAAATTTATTATTATCGAAATAATCGTCAATATGCAGCAGGGTTACTTATGAAGGCGAGACCAATGATTCTATATTAACCCAAGAAGGCAACTTATTATTCTAATGTAAAAAGGCCAATATTCCATTTTACAAAAATGGTACTGCCAATATTCCAAAGGAAAATATATTGTTCTTTTTTCTTCTTTAATTGAGGAAAATATCGAAAAAGTAACTTGAAACTGTATAATAAAAATCGATCTTGCTCCATAATTCCAAGTCACTTGTCCGTATGATTATATTCTATCGAATAGAATAATTAATATTTTTAATTCTAAAACTAGTGGTTTTAAGTGGAAAATAAATACTGAGAAAATTTTGATCAACGTTCTTTATTTCAAGTTTTAATTAGACAAATTTTAGATGGGTTCATCCCATCTGGACCGCTGGACGTATATGGTCTTGCTAAAGTGTCACATGAGTTGAACTATATTCTAATATTTAATATTCCAAATTTCTAAATTTCTAATCATGATTCGGAAATAGAGAGATATCACTCGCATACGTCCCTTTCTTGTAAGTTAGATTATTAGAAGTTCCCTAGCTCTAATTCCATTAATGATTATACTAAGAGAACTTAATTAATATAGTATGGTTTGGGCCTTTGGGGTATAACTAATTGGCTGTTCACTTAAGATACACATCATACATCTTATTGGGTATGACTTATTAACTGATTGTCAACTGTAAATCTTGATCTGTTTTTTTTGTTTGGTCAAGAATTTTGATCTGTTTTATGAACCAAATTAAGCTGCAGAAGATTTCGAAAAATTTATCACAAAAAATATGTTTTTTTTTGTTTGGTCAAGAATTTTGATCTGTTTTATGAACCAAATTAAGCTGCAGAAGATTTCGAAAAATTTATCACAAAAAAATATCTAAGACCATAAAAAACCAATAAAACCATAAAGAGATATAAATTCCGAAGTGTATTATGAAACTATATATATTATTCAATTTATCAAATAAATTACTGCTGTAAGAGCCAATTGTTGAGCTCATCAACACTCCACAAGTTTTCCAACGCATCTTCGCCGTTGAACCAAGTACTACAATTATTTCTCATCTGATCCAACGTCCCATATTCCATCTGATCACCATCGAAGAAATTCGATCCCATATATTCCGACGAGGTCGACGATGACATGGCAGTGGCCACGCTCGAGTTCTCGGGCGAGTAGTGGTTAGAGGTAAACTCGACATTTTGAGTGGAGGCGATTCTCTCGACGAGTCGAGGCATCCAAAGATGTTTGATTGTGTCTTTGAATTGCTTGCTGTTCACGTCACATTTCAGAAGTTTGGCATGTTTTTGAACACGTGTTCTCCAATAATTCTTTATCTCGTTATCTGTTCTTCCAGGTAATTGTTGAGCAATCTTTGACCACCTTCAAAAAAAAAAAAACAAAACAAAAAATATTTAGATTACTAAATCGGCAATAATATTGAAGCTATTATTCTTATGTTAGTACTTATACGTACATTGAAAGAATTTGAATCAAACGGTACGGTTTTTCTGATTGTTAATTACCTTGGTAAAAACTAAAAAGACTTGATTTGTGTCATTTATCAAATTTGTTTTCATATTTTTTAATATCATAATTTAGCCAAAATACGCGTTAAATTCAGTTGCAATTCTCTATCTCTATTACATTGAATATTGAGTAAATCAATTCATAGAGACGTTCGAAATTTGCTCTCTTCCAAGTATTTTCATCCCCTTTTCCTCTTTCTTTCAAACAATGTATTTAGAATGTATATTACTCCATTAGTTTTTATAAATATCGTTAAAACCAATAGGTTTCATACCGATTTCCCCAACGAGAATGGAGTTCAAGAATGATGAATTGTTCTTGGAGGGATATGTCTCCACGGCGGATGTCTGGTCGGAGATAATTCAGCCACCGCAATCTACAACTTTTCCCCGTTCTATTAAGTCCTGTCTCAATAGTAATTTATTTCAATATAAGAATACAATTCATAGAGTTACTAAGTCCATCTTACATGGACAGTGGACACTATAATTTCCCTAGTCAATAAATAAATTAAATGAGGCTTTATCGTATTGGATGGTTGTGAAAGCCTGAAAGATGTTTGAGTTCCACACTCAAAAGGCAAAATGAAAAGAACCCCAAAGGAAAAAAAAACGATTTGATTTCAAAAGACCGGCCAATCTTTTTTATCTAGAAAGTACACTTTGAATGATAATAGTGAACTAAGTTGTCAACTTGTTCTGTTTATAAGAATTTAAATTTTGCCGACATGGAGAAGCCAAAATGATTTCAATCAGTTGTAATCAAAAACGATCTTTGTTATAATCTACCCCATTTGATTTTAATTATTCATAATGAAAAACAATTGTTTTTTGGTTGTTTGTTAATAATCAAAAACGAATTTCGGATTTAAAAAAAAATATTTAGATACAGCCCAAAATTTTGTGAGAAAAGAAAACTACTTGTTTGAAGAGTATATTTTAATGAGTCCTTTAATAGCAAGGTTAAAGCATGCAAAGCAATGAAGCGCAATTGGGACATTATCTCTCTGGATATGATAAGGTCATACAACGATTTCTTAAGATAATTTCGATTGATCTATATCGATTTACGCAATATATCTTATATATATATATATACACACGCACACACTACATATATATATATATATATATATATCATGCATGATCATCTACTATAATTATTCTATATCATGTATGTAAAAGGGTTACGAAGTTACCAGCAGAACGAGGGAGAGAGTTCCATCTTCCTTCACCGTGAAGAGCAATGTAATTGATGAGCTTCATGTCTTCCTCCACAGTCCATGGACCTCTTCTTATTTCCATTTCCATCTTCTTCTCTTCTTTTACTTCTTCCACTTCTTCTTTCTGCCTTAGGGTTTTACAGTTTGCAAATTTTGTTTTGTTTATATTCATGCTTTGATATTTTTAGAGATTAGAAAGGAGAGATTGATCTAATAAGGATTTTGATGAATGTTGAGGGAGAGAGAGAGAGAGATAGCGCTTTCTAATGGACATAAAGTGATGGAGTTTTCAGGGTGGGTTTTATAGATATATTTTGTTTAGCATATATTATAAAATAAATACCAAGCATTTGGAATCGGCATGATTGTTAATAATTGAATTATAAACACAAGTTAGTATATTGGATTAAAAAAGAAAATTACAGTACTTTGAATCTGTATAATATTAATCGTATAGAGTACTAGATTCTCCTAAAACGACTGGCTATATATAGGTAAGAGTGGGAAGCAATCTGGTTTGGTTTAGTTTTGGTTCGGTTTGATGTAATTTTGGCAAAGTTTGATTTAAGGTTCGGGTAAGATTTTTTTCATTCTAACCAAGTGGAAGTGCTTGTAGTGGGGTGGTTTCCGGAAAGAGTTGTCATGTTGATTTAAACCAAGAATCGACTCTCTCTAAATACAGAATTATATCACATTAAAGCTTGGCCACGTAGAGTATAACTGGGCGTCCTCACGCTCTACCTAGGAGATTAGTTGGGTGTTTTGAGGTCTCAAATACCTTGGATGCTAATAAAAAAAGATTTGTTTTAATTTTTTTTTATCATCTGAAATATTATCTATAACGAATTAGAAAAACAATTATATAAATGATTTTAAAACAAACAATTTTACCTACTTATAAAGATCTACGATAAACAATTGTAATTGCACCATAGTGCTAGAAAGTGAATTGTTTATGACTGAGTTTTTAACGTCTTTCTCTTATTGTTTTTTTTTTTTTGGGCAACTACCTCTTTCTCTTAATTAGTTTGTACTAAATGTGATACAACTCTTGACTATCATCATGTAGTAGCACTTAAGCTTGATAAAGATCATAATCCATTTTTTGAACTAGCTTATGCAGTTTTGATCTTCTATACTTTATGTCAAGATATTCTTTAGAATCCTTTTAGTTCCTACTAACTAAAAGAGTTACTAAAATGAAAATAAAAGAACAATCTTTAAATGAGTTTCTAAAACTGAGCCTAAACCAAAACAGTCACCAATTTCTCCTACGTCTGTAATTAGTGACTGTTTTGGTTTGGGCTCAGTTTTAGAAGCTATCAGAAGCTTGCCTTATTCATCTAACGTTTCAGGGTTTTAAGGTATAAAACTGATAAATGAACATGTCTTTAGCTATCAGTATAAATGATTTTACTGTCTGGTCGTTACATCTTTGAAAATATCTCAAATTCAAAATGTATAAAAATAGCTATGCACCGATATGAGAACGATTAATCATCTATAAAAGAAAAACTCATGTAGCATCTTTGCTTTGTCAAATACGTTTAGGCCTATATTTGACAAGAATAGAATTTTCTACTTTAATTTCATTTGTTTTTTTCTTCCTTTTCATTGGTTTCAAAATGACTTTTTGTTCCAAGGAAATCTGTAGTGTATTTCTGATTGCAGTCTTCGTCAACGTGTACTTTAACAAATTTGTTTTTCAGCTACAAATAATTGTATTCGTAACTTGAACACTCGCGGAGAATGGTGCTTATATATGAAAAGCTTCTGAATTATCCTATGTGCTGCCTTGTGTTCTTACCATTACAATAACCTGAGATTCGTTTCTTGTAAGTGCTTATATATCAAAAGCTTGTGAATTATCCTAAATTCATACACAAAAATGCAACTATACGTGGTTGCTAATTTACAACCATTTTCTTTAAGCTATCAATAGCTTTGCCTCCTACGTCTTTAAACCCTGAATCATTAGATGAATAAGGCAAGAGAACCACTATCACGTTCCTCAACATCTCCCTCAGTGGATAAAACCTTAACTTACTTTGAACATGGATCCAAAGATGCAAGTCGCATCTCGCCATTCTCCATACATTCCAAATGAGGTTTGTCATTACAGAAAATGCTGTTGGTGCTTAAATCATCTGCTTGGAGACATGGCTTCCTCAATCCTTCTGATCACAATACTAAGAGGGCTTCCCACTTGAAGAGCTTCAACAGCTGCACGATGTGCTGCCTTGTGCCACTTGAGCAGATTGTAAGATTGTAGAACAGACCACCTGGCTTGATTCGACATCTGTATAATCAAACGATACGGATTAACAATCTTTACACTTTGACACGTTGTGCAAGAAAACTAGTCACCATCAGATATATATGATTTTTTTTTTAACTAGACCTGAGCCACGGATAAAGGTGGTTCGAGAAGTACTGAGATGCTCCTGAACAGATTTTCATCATTCTCGCCACCCTCGGCCTCACCATAAACTAGTGCTTCTGCTGCAATACCAGCGAAAAGAACCATGCTATACCTACGAGAAACTGAACCACATCAGGGTTTGTGAATGAGACAAAGTTCACAGGGAAAAAACAACACTTCTTACCTATCAAATGAGCTACCGCTAAGTCTCCCCTCAGCAATCTCATTCTCCATCTTTTGATCCCAGAATTGGGTTCCAGCCTACAAGAAACACATGAAAATCCAATCCAGTTGTGTACTCGGTTCCATTTTTTAACTAAATAGCAAAATACAACAGTGCATCAGGATACTAACCTGGCCTTGAACACCCATTTGCATGGCAACAATCGGATCCAATATCACACCACGGATTGGGCAGCCCATGAGGTATGCTACACAACAGAGAAAGCAAGAAAACTTATAAAAAAGTTTTACAATTACGAGATGGACACAAGTTTCTTACCGACAAGAAGATGACCAGCTTCATGAACAATGATTCGACGCTTATGTGGAGGCCAGTAGCATGATATTTGAGCTAAACCTGTACCACCAAGTAGAAGGGAATCCATGAAAGCCAGACCCAAAACGGCAGCAAGATTTGGCCGCAGATCAATCTCCTGAGAAAGAAGATAGGAGATTCCACCAAGAAAAGCAGCCAGAGCAACGCTAGAGCCACCAGAGAGACCCCATTTCTTTGGTGCAAGTTTAGTCACTAATCAACAAACAAAAACCTCAAAATCAGTTTGCAAATACCACAACTGAGTAATCAAAACGATGACTGACCCTAAACAGACCTTCCAAGCCAGTTGCAGACTTGAGGACAGTAGGTGTGACCTCTCTTGTGCCCTCCAAAACTGCACAAAATGAGCATTGATCAAATGATCAAATGAGCATACACCATTGAAGAAAGAAACCTCTGAAAACGAATTGAAATTGATTTAGTCATACCAATATTGGTGAACTTGCCAAAATTGGGTAGTAGACCTCTGTCTTTGAGAAACCTAAATGCACTCCCAACAAGTCTCATATCATCTGCATTCAAACACGCATCTAAGACCTGCCAATCTCTCTCCAATTCAAGAGCTCCCAAACCGGTTATCGGAGCGGAGACCATGGATTCTTCAAGCTGTTCATCGGTTTCGATTGATTTGAGGAATCTGAGAGCTCCGGCGAGATCTTTTCTCTTGACGGCGTCTTCGTACTCCCGCCATTCCCTGAGAGCGCGAGGAACGAGGAAATCGCACCGGCGAGGAGAAGACGATATCATCAGATTTCTGAGACATGGAGGAGACGACAAGGAAACGCCTAATCGCCGATTGATTCCGCCGCCGAGCAATCGAACTCTCGACGCGTTATCTACAATCGACACGAAGAACGAAAGTTAGGTTAACCAAATCATCCGCTCAGGAGCTTTAATAGGCGATTTAGGTTCAGTAACTGTAGAATCCCAATGGAGGAGGAAAGGTACTGTTGTTATTGAGCGGAGAAGCTTGGAGAAGAGACGCCGCCATAGCTATGGCTTGACGGGAGAGGAAGCTGATGATAGATGTAGATTGTCTCTACTTGGATCCCATCGCGAGACGCCACGTGGAAACATTTCCATCTTATTTCGTTTCGGGTCTTCGTTTTATTGTAAACTAGAAAAGGACCTGCGCATATGCGCGGATCTTATTTTAGTTTATATTTTAAATAATATATTTTAAGAATTTGTATTGAATTTTATGTTTACTATCAATGTTTTTGCGTTTAAAATATTTATATTTTCGTCGATTTAAGTCAAATAGTTTTTCCTAAGATAATCAGAAACTAAAATCTATTATTTAATTTTTTGTATGAAAACGTAATAATTTATTTAAAAATATATGTTAAATATCAAAGAGAAATATATATTTTAATTTTTTGGTTAAATATATTTGATTGATTCCATCTTTTTTTTCTTTTTTAAAAAAAAAAAACCATGTATAATATTTTTGTGTTGACACCCTTTTTTTATTATTATTTTTAAATAACTTTTATTCGTTTATTAAATATTCTTTATGTTTTATAATTTTATTAGTTGGAGTTTTATATAAGATTATTTTAAACTTTTTAACTTATTCAGTCACAATTTTTTTTCACTTGAATTAAATTTTCGTTATATTTTAGTTTAAAAATTAAGTTTAAATCACTGCAAAAAAGAAAATAGAATGATGCATTTAAAAGTTTTGTATTATATAGTATTTAAAAATTTTTATATACTCCCTCTGTTCAGAATTATTTGATGTTTTAGAAGGTTTTTTTTGTTCAGAATTATTTGATGTTCTCACTTTTCAATGCAAAATTTAATGAATTTTTATAGTTTTTGACCTTTTATATTCTGCAGATTGTCTTCTTATTGGCTGGATGATATTTAAATGGATTATAAATAATATTTTTAGTATAGAAAAAATAAAAATTAAATAAATCCTTAAACTGTGTGCAAAAACCTTAAACATCAAATAATTCTGAACAGAGGGAGTATTAAAAAAATTTTGTTCTAATATATATATATATATTAATATTTATTTATGTTTTTTAATGTGTTTGCTTGAAATTTCATTAATTATTTATTTTATTAAAAATAAGATAGGTGTCATTCTCTCCACTGCTAAGGTGTCATTCAGCTGGAGAGAGTTGATTGTCTTTTATATATAAGACGTTTGTTTTTAGAAAATTGATTTGATTGATTTTCACAAATAAATAAGGCATACTTTTATAGAGATAACCTGAAACATTCCTCTAAAAACTTATTTATTTTTTCGTCTCATCTTTCATTTTAGCATCTTTCTTGTGGGTCTTTCACCTTTTAATGAGCTTTGAAATCTTCAATTTATCCTTGTAATTTTGTAAGAAGTAAATTATAAATTGAAAATCAACCCAATCATAAAATAAGCAAAGATAAAACCAATCAAGACCGGCGAAATAAAAATCCGTCCAATGAAATATAAGCATGAGTAGCCAATCAGAAACGAGCTTCTCAAAATTTAACCAATCAGGAGCGTGTCAACATTTTTTAAGCGCCAAAAATTTAGCCAATCAGAACAGGCTTTGTCTTCTTGTCGGGGACAGGGTTGAAAGAAAAACCATATTTGACCAGCTCGCTCGCTTCACCCTAGCGATTGCTAGAGAACGAATTCTCAGAACTCGAATCCTTCTTGACATTTTGCTGCACTCATCCCACATTAACACTTAATCGAGGTAATTGACATTTCGTTGGATATTCTTCTTCATTTCGTTATTAGAAAGTCGTTGCCCTAGAACCACAATTGGGATTAAATTCGATTATTGAATAGGCAATGGTATACTATGGAAATGGTAATTGGTTGCTAATCGAATGAGTATTTATTAGATTGAAGGTTTAGATGCGGTAAATCGAGTTAGATTAGAGTTTCTCTACGAGTTGACAATTAGATCTAATTAAATGAGAGAGATAGAGTAACAATTGGTATTACCTGTGTATAACTGGAAACAACTGGAAACATTTTTTATGCGGTTGAGTATGGTCTATGTGTTATTTTTTCAGGTGATAATGATAACAAACCTATTTTTTGATTATGGGGGATATTATTAAACTTCGGAGGATAAATGGATTTCAGCCCCAACGTCCATGTATGGTATAATGTTTAAGTCATCAAGTTTGGAGGAGATTACTTATTCTGATTTAGTGGAAAAGATATGCACGAAGGTTGGGATTGTTGAATCTTCGAGTAAGTTCATACTGAGTTACATTCTGGTACTAGTGCAAACTCAAAAACAATTTTATATATCGAATGATGATGATCTAGCCGTGTTCCTGACCTCACTAGATAAAGAGGAGACACAGAAGTATTATTAATGTAGAGGTCATCAAAGGTGTTGAAGTTGGAGAGGAATTTTTCCAGAGTTGAGAGGGTAAGTTCAGTTGGTATAAATTATGGGGGATTGCGTTTAGGTAATGATGGATCAAATAATGGTGTACTTGCTATTTACACAGGCAACTTTTCAGCAGGACAACATCACGAGAATGTCCCATTGATAGAGGAAGCTGACGATGATGAGGGAAAAGATGGTGATGATGTTACACGTGATGGAGAAGATGGTGATGATGTTACACGTGACAATGGAAAAGATGGTGATGATGTTTCCCGTAAAAATGCTGATGGAGTAGATGATGATGCTAAAGCCAAGTTTGATAACGAGGAGGAGGAATACAGAGGGTTTAATTTTGATTATGGTCCCCCTCCTGAAGTTGTAGAAACACAACATTTTGAATGGGAAGATGGTATGAATCTGAGAATGGGGCAACAATTTGCATGTAAACAAAATTTGATAGATTTAGTGTATAGAGCTTCACATCAATATTGTTTTGGTCTCACTATAAAGAATTCAGATAAGAGGCGATGTGTCGTGAAATGCGGTGAAACAAGTTGTAATTAGTATTTACGAGCTTGGAAGGATGCGAATACACCCTGTTTTTCTATAACAGTATACCGGAAGATGCATACTTGTTCTCGGGCCGGTGCGAGTACAAACAAAAAACAAAGGAAAGGAACACCAAGATTAGTTGCATCTGATTTAAACCTCTCCTTACAGTCGAGTTATTCCTGTTGTTAAAGAGTTGTATCCAGGTCGATTAGATACACCAACTCCTCATGATGTCATGCTTTTGGCTAAACAAAATGCTTCTGTGAGTGTATCATACTCTACCGCATGGAGAGGAATACAACAAGCTAAATCTCTGGTTCGTGGTTATCCTGCAGACATCTATAGAGATATGTACTCGTATTTGTACATGCTAGAGAAGGTGAATCCAGGTACAAAACACAAGGTGTTACTGTACGAACAAGGAAGATTCAAGTACTTATTTGTCGCTTTGGGAGCTTGCCTTGAGGGGTTTGTAGCTATGAGAAAAGTGGTAGTTGTTGATGCAACTTTCTTGAAACCCGGAAAGGATTGCCAGCTAGTCTTTGCTGCTTGTCAGGATGGTAATCGTCACCATTATCCGATTGTTTTTGGAGTTATTGATGCAGAAAAAAATGACAGATGGGAGTGGTTTTTCAGGCAGTTAAAAACGGTTATACCCGATAGTCCTGAGTTGGTTATTGTTTCTGTCAGAAATTCAGGCCTCATTAATGCAGTAGCTGAGGTGTACACTGAAGCTAAACATGGGTATTGCACCTGGCATCTTTCACAGAATGTGAAAATGCAAGTTTCAAGGTATAGAGAAATAGTTGCAGAAACATTCATGGAGTGCGCAAGATGATAACAACGTATTTTGACCACTTTTATGGATCCTTTTGAAATACTTTTTCTATGTTTTCAATTGCTTTTTAGTACTTTTATTACGTTTTTCTAGTATTTGTAGTTCCAAGACTCTTTTCAGGTAATTTAGGGAAAAGCTTAACAAAATGGATAGAAAACCAGATTTCAGCTCAAAGTCAAACCGTCAGAAGTTCACCCTTGATTGAAGGCCTTCTCACCGTCAGATCCAGCTCAAATTTGGAGACATTAAAGATGGAAGTATCAGCTTTCCAGTGCACTTTACAGCTTGGCAATCCAACGGTTCAATCAAAAGATACGCGAAGAGCAAGATGTCCCGTAAACCAGCCGGCAAGCACTTCCACCCGCGGCCAAACACTCACTCCCCACGGTCAGGAGCATCCCGACCGCGGCAAACCACTCATTCCCTACGGTCAGAGCCCTCCCGACCGCGGCCATCAACCTCCGAGCCCAAAAAGCCCATTTCTGAAGCCCACATTTGGAGGAACCCTAAGTGACGTCCAGAGAGGTCTTGAGCACTATAAATACATGTCTTAAGAACCCTAAACGAGGGGACATCATCACCACCGAATTATTACTTCATACTTTTATTGTTTTTGCTTTAGCTTTTAGTGAGAGAGAGATTTGTTCTCTTGAACCCTTGTTCTTACTTTTTCAATTTCGGTTTCTATTCTACTTCTTAATACTATGTTTTTGATTTCGTTCATCATGTCTGAGTAGTTTTATTGTTGGGATTTAGGGATTTTCGATGGGGATTTATATGTTCGATGAGGATTCCATGAGCTTTTGAGCCGAATCTTAGAACTTTTTCTTCTGAATTCGTTTTTACTGCATGAGAGTAGCGTCATGAACTACAATCTGATCCAGATGCTTGGTGACACGAAAGTGTTCATCCGGTGTCATATCTAGTTTGGGAGAGCAAAACAAACATAGGAGTGGAAACCTACCTATGGGCGATTTGTGAATTAGGACGAGTCTTAAACATAATGCATCTCTTCTCTTCCAGGGCCAGAGTGGAAACCTACTGGTCAGGGTTGAGAGAGATAGTTATCTATGATCACGACAGTGGCGTATTCATACGTCCGTGACTCCAGTTCGAAAAGTTTAAGCTAAGATCTTATCAAATTTACTCTCTAGCAATGTTTTGAATCGTTCGTACCCCTGAGAAAACTTCCCTGAAACCCAACGCCTTCTTTCCCATTGATTTACACCGATTTTCTTTCAAGCTTTGGTTCAATATTGTCTTTCCTTTTTAGTTCATTTTCATTTAAGCAATT